GCTGTACCATATGTGAGTTAGCTCCCTGGCTGGGATTGAACTCAAGCCAGGCTATTGAGGTGATAGTGCTGAGACTTAACCCCTAGGCCACCAGGGAGGCCCACTTCCTTCTATTTTAATACTGAGCCTCTGTAGACTTGAGTCAACACCTGTGAAGCCTATAGCACTGGTCCTGGTATTTAGTAGGTACTCACTGTCTACTGGATTTGAATATAGAACTTCTATGTCAGACTAGTGTGGAATTTCCAAAGTTTCATGAATATCTTAAGATCAACATTCAGCAAATATTTCCTTGCACCTACGATGTTCCTGGCATTGTACTAGAGACTGGGAATACAAAGATGACCTAGATGTGGACCCAGTGTAAGTACAGTACAGTCTGCTAAATTCTAAGATGGAATAAAGACACACAGGAGTGGATGCTCAGGGCTGGTTCCATAAAAGAAGGGAGCTCAGCAAGCAGCTGCTTCTGAGGCTGGTGACCCACCGCAGGCTATGAACTCAACCCAGGACCCTGCCAAGTGGAGGCCTGGAGCTTTCCCAGCACATGCACACATGCAGTGAATACCCTTGGGTCCCTGCCCACCTGCAGTGGGGGTGGCAGGTGGGGTCAGCTAGAATCAGCCAAGGAAACCCCAGGCAGCAAATCTCAGTCCCAGGAGGCAGGCCCTTGCATTTCTCCAGCTGTCTTCTGGCTTCTGGCTCATAATCCCCCTTCTTTCCTGCTGGCTTCTCTTCTGTTAGGAGATCCTCTTCACTAGCCCTCTCCCCTTCCAGGTTCTCTATCAGCCAAATTCTTTTTGTTTTTCACACTTGGTTGAAACTATTTAATAGTGGGCCTGCTGGTGCTATGAAGGGGTTGTTCACTGAGCTGAGAGTGCAGGCCCAGCCCAGATGGATTAAGAGTTTTGCTTGCTTCTAGGGACTGCATTTCAGATCCCGGCTCAGCCACAACTCAGTCCTCTGAATTGGACAAGCTACTTACCTCTCTCTAAGTCTGTTTCCGGTCTGTAAAATGGGCATTATAATAATAGTCCCTTCTGTAGAGGATTGTTGTGAGGCTAAGAAAATGTATGCTAAAGAAGCAATTAGTACCATGCTTGGCCTATAATAAACACTCAGTAGAGGTCCATACCAATATTATTAAGGTGATCATTCTGGCTTATTTCACTGAGCATAATTCCTTCTAGCACCATCCATGTTGCTGCGAATGACATGAGTTTATCTTTTTTGATTGCTGAATAATATTCCATTGTGTATATGTACCACATCTTCTTGATCCAGTCATCTATTTTTGGGCATTTGGGTTGTTTCCAAGTTTTACCTATTGTAAATAGTGCTGCAGTAAACATAGGGATACAGATGTTCTTTTGAATCAATATTTTTGTGTCCTTGGATAGTTTCCTAGGAGTGGAATTGCTGGGTCGTATAGTAGAAAGAAAAATATTGGATGGTTTCACTTATAACAGGAATATAGGGGAACCAAATAAGACATCAGAGTAAAAAATAACAGTACAAAACAACAAAGCAAAAACAGACAATTATAAATGAGAGACATCCTGCAGGGGAGGAGGAGGGAGAGGGGTTAGAGGGAGGAGGGAGGAGCACAGGGGACTGAGGTGATGGTGCACAGGTGCCTTGGGGAAGGAAATTCTATGGGGACTCAATCTGAGGGGGTGGGGGGAAGCAAATATTGTTTAAAAATAAAAAAAAAATTTAAAAAGGAAAAATAAAAAAATTATTAAGGTGATCATTGTTATTGAGTAGCATCCTGCCCACGGTGGATTCTGAATCCTCACTGGAGGAAGGAATGGCGCTGGAAGCATTTTGAGCATGGTTACCACCCACTTGCATCCTCCCCTCAGCTCTTGCATCCTCTCCCCAGGCACCCTGTCCCCTTTGTGAGGCTGCCCTGGGGATCAACAGGAGGGGAAGGCTTGCTTGGACAGGCCATCTCATCCTTCCATGGGGACGGGGGCTGTTTTGGCTTGAACCTCTATTTTCTGCTGATTGAGTGGGTCGTGGGCTCCCCAGGAGCACCACAGGGGAGACAAGCCTGTTAATGGTCACACTCAGGTTAATGGTATCACTCAAGATAACCAGAAGCAGTGTTTCTGAGACCCACATTCCCTTTCATGGAATCCTCCAAGGTGGGCATCAGTCCCATTTTGCAGGTAGAGAACTGAGGTTTGGAGCTTTTGCCAAGGTCTGCGTGAACTTGTGCTCATCACTATACTACTCCAGCTGATACTCAGGTCCAGCTTCACAGGCCCACTTAGAAGGGCCCCAAGCTCAGTTTAATGCTTTGCTGTCACCATCTTCAAATCTTGATAATTTTGAACAAGGGGCTCACATTTTCTTCGTGCACTGGGCCTGGCCAAGTTATGTGGCTGGTGCTGCCTACCCTCTTTTGTAGAGAGGATGCCTTCCTTGCAAAGAAAAGGAAAACCAAGGGCCTCCTTGGTGGCACAAGAGGTTAAGCACAGCACTGTGGAGCTATCCGCAAGCCTCTGCAGCACAAGTTCAATCCCTGGGCAGCCAGGGAGCTACCCACATGGAGCAGTAGACCTCTCCTGACTTGCCCGCTGCTCCCCTCAGCAGTGTATTTCAGTCAGTTTGCCTGTTCTGTTCCCTATTCTGTTTCTGGTGAATCCTCTCGCCCCCCACACCTCTGGCCTGTACCCTAGCTCTTGTATGCATAAATAAATAAAAAAGAAAAGGAAAACTGAGATGCAAAAAGGGGGACATCACTGGCACAAAGTCACATAGCAAGTTGGTGGCAGACATGGAACCAAGTCTCCTGACCCTCTGCACAGTGGAATTCTCTGGAAGCACTCATGCCCAACCATGCCCTATGGAGAGAGGGGAGTTCTATGAGGAGCTGTTGGTTGGGAGCGCAGAAGATGGGGAACGCTTACCCACTAAACCACTTCTTCCAGCTGGCCCTACTGGGGCCAAAAGGTTGACCTGCTACTGTTCCTGGTTTGCCCATATTTGGGCCCAGGGGCCAGGCCTTTCTGAGAGGCCTGGCAAGGTCAGTGAGCAGGGAAGAGACTCAGCTTTCTCTAAAGTGGCACTGGGGAGCTAATACACATGAGATGAGGCTGCCAGCAGAGGTGGTCATGGAATGTGACCCAGGAATCAGACTGTTTGGGCTTTGCCCTTATCCTTGCCTCCTACTCTGCAACCCAGCAAGACTGGCATCCTGCCCCTTGAGCTGGGCATGTGGACATGTGTGCTCAGATATCCATGGTTCATAGTAGAATTCTACTTGAGATATGTATTTCTATGTGATCATTTGTGCCTGTGTGTGTGTTTTGTGGTGGGAAACAAATTGAGAGAAAACATTGTCTAATAGTTTTAGCTACATTCATTCCATATATTTCCGACTTGGGGAATACAGCCCCAGAAATACAAACATCCTTAGGATGCTTACACTCTAGTGGGCAAGTGTGGTGCCAGCAACCAAGCACAGAGTGGGCAGGGAGGACTGGGGGCCAGGAGGCTGGCAGACCTCCCAGTCCCTGGCAAATCTCTACTCATTTCTTTGGGCTCTCTCTGGTGTTGTCTTGTGGCCCTGCCTGTCATCACTCATCCTCCCATAGCCACTCTCTGCCACACACCATCCTCTGTGATTCTGCTCTTATAGCCTCAGTCTCTTGGCTCAGGTGTGCCAACTTATGCATGCCCACACCATACTCCAGGTGTCCACCATCTGGCATGCGTGCCCTGAGCCCACATTCCCAAGCACCTCCTACATTCAAGGTCACAGAGGCCAACAGCGCAAAAACTTGAGCATCTCATTTACCCCACAGCAAGACAGACAATAAAACAATCATCAAACAAATACATATATTTGTTTCCTAGTGGCCTGTTCCTTTACTTTATGGAGAAATGCATAGTATGAAATAATGGAGGTTATTGGTGTGCCCTTTTGTGAGATGGTTGGGAACCTCATATTCTACAGCAGGCCCTGGCATTTGGGAAGCATTCATTGTGACTGAGAGTGAGATTGCCCTTAAGGTGCTCCAAATACCTCACCTGTGGATACCTGCAATTCTACTAGAGGTCTTTCTCTAGGGTTAAGCTTTCTTTTTTCTTTTTCCCTGAGACCATGCTAAAATTCCAACCCCTGGGAGTGGGAATGGCAGGTGGGTACACTGAGTTCATAACTTGGCAGTGCTGTATCATGAAAAGGGTTGCACAAGGGTCCTGAACCCCAAAAGAAGTCCCTGGTGGGTACCACAGTGGGAGCCAGAGGGCTACAAGGCAATCGCCATCACCCTCTGCTGCTGACTCAGCCCACCTCCGCCTGCAGAAGGGGCAGCCAAAGGGGGTAGAGGAGAGTAAAATCTAACCAAAACCCAAACTCTAGAATCCGAGTCAGCCTCGCACTGGTAGCTGAGAACGTCCACAGTTCCAGGTCCATCTTGCAGGACCCTGCTGTATCAGCTCTGCCTGCCCTGCAGTCCCCAGGGACAGCCATGCTTTCCTCAGTGACAGCTCCTGGTTGCCTATAAGACTTGACAAGAACTTTAAAGTTTCTCGGGACACTCAACTACTGCTGTGACCTTTTGGGGAGCCTATCAGCTCTCCCTCCCAGAGGCCAACTTTGACACTCTGGCGGGGGTCTGGATAAAGAATGTGGAACCCAGCCACACAGTGAGGCCCAGAGTGAGGCTGAGCAAGTTCTGCATGGTGGCTGGAGCACTGCCCAGGGCGTGACTGGGCTGCCTGTCCTCTCCTACAAGAATCTGCATGCTTCCTCCCTTGCTTGCTTCCTTCCTCTCCCTTCCTCCCTCGCCAACCTACCTGGAGGCAGGTAATAAAGCAGGAGGAGGGAGATGGATGGATGGGGAGGGCTGGGAGCCACGTGGTGTCATAAAGCCCAGCTAGAAAGTGCCTCTCTGGGAGTGTCCAGCCCGCAGAAGCCAAAGCTTAGGAGGTGGACCAGCAGCCTCACTAGCTGGAGTCTGAGCAGCGGGGCCTGGGAGAAGGCCATGCACCAAGGAGCGCCAGGACCAGGCCTCAGGGACCTGAAGGGGGTCCAGAGCCCTGCCAAAGACTTGGAGGTCTCTTGCCTGGAGGCCGCGAGGAATTTTGGGGTGCTGAGGGAGAAGGGCGGCCCCCGCAGCCTGGACGAGGCAGAGGAGGTGGCAGGAGGCAGAAAGCGGGCCCGGCCGGTGCGGTCCAAGGCGCGGCGCATGGCGGCCAATGTGCGCGAGCGCAAGCGCATCCTGGACTACAATGAAGCTTTTAACGCGCTGCGCCGGGCGCTGCGGCACGACCTGGGGGGCAAGAGGCTCTCCAAGATCGCCACGTTGCGCAGAGCCATCCACCGCATCACCGCGCTATCCCTAGTCCTGCGCGCGAGCCCCGCGCCCCGCTGGCCCTGCGGGCACCTGGAGTGCCACCGCCAGGCACAGCGCGCTGGGGGCGCCGGGGACGCGGTGTCCAGCCCACTGCAGCTCGCGCCACCGCCCGCCGGGCCCAGCCTCGCGCGCCGGGACACCGCGGGCCCCTTGGCGCCGCGCTGCCCCTCGTGCTCCCCGCACACGCACCTGGAACGGCACAGGGCGGTGGCCGAGACGCAGGGCTCATCCCAGACCTCTGCGGGGAGCTGGCGCCGGTGTCCGGGGGCTCCTTCTGCGGGGCTGCTGCCTTGGTCGCGGAGCTATCTGCGCGCGGGCCCGGGGCTGGGCTATCAGCACCTCTGACCCGACCGCTGCTCACCCAAGGGCCTGGATGGCGCACTGGCCTGGAAGGAGCCAATGACTGGGTCACTACAAAAGGAAGACTGGAAAGGAAAAACAAAACAAAACAAAACAAAAAAACAACAAAACAAACCAACAATCACAAACAAAAGAAAAAACCTGGTGGAGAACAAATGGGCTGAGGGCAGATGGGGGCAAGGAGGCAATTTGCCAGAGGAAAGAAACTGGAGCCTGGGGCTGCGCTTCCAGACAGCTCTGATGACAAAGAAGCAGGACTCTGCTTTTACTTTTGGACTTGATGAACTCTTACTGTCAAATGACCTTTGCATTCCTGTATCTGAGTCATTTTTTTTCTTACAACTTTGTCAAAGAATGGGGCCTTTTGGGGAGGGGTATTTGTACGTGGGAGTGGCACCTGGTGTGTTGTGATAGCAGTGTGGGCTTCCCTTGCCCTGCCTGTGCTGATGCCCCACATCTGTGATCTGGACGAGGCCATCAGAAGCAGTCAAATAAAAAGGAAAAGCTATCTCTGTCTGCTACCCGGTGGTCTAGGGTGGCCTGAGGGGCTTGAGGCCTGGGGGCTCACCCTGGAATGTTGGCCTTTGGTCTAAAGTCCACAGGTAGGTATCTGGGGGCATTGGTTCATGGCAAGTCCCCAGTTATGGCTGATCACTGTGAGGGGGACTGAAGGAGAAGCCATTATTTGGAAAGGGGGAGCAGGGTCTAAGAGACATTTAACGTGCTGTCAGCCTCATCTCTGGACCCCCTGATGAACTGCAGTGAGCCCCAGTGAAGGCTGCACTTCCCCACCCTCAGGGGAAGGAAGCTGACTGTGGGGCCAAGGACTGGGGGGTCAGAAAGTATCTGACTTGTACCCGTACTCCAAACGATGGATGGAAGGAGTTCCCATGGAAGATTAGACCGTACAGCCAGGGCCCTGGGATTCCAGAGTTGGAATCCTGGAGGGACTATGGGAAAGGAATTCAGGAAAGTGAGATCTCAAGCCAAGGCTACTAAGGGATCGGGAGGCAGAGCTATCCCCAGCCCCCCAAGCCTGGAGAGCAGCTCTGCATCTAAAATAAATGCTCCTAAGTTAGTGTGTGATCTCTCTAAGGCTAATTGGGCTGATGTACAGGTGCAGCTTGGTGGGGTGAGGACCCAGATGTGCCAGGGAGGTGCAGAGAGATTTCTGGTCTCTTTGGAGAGTTGGGCTCTTGCCAGCTGGGGGGCAGGGAGAGATACACAGCTCACAGAGCTAGAAAGATACTCTTAGACCCAAGTAGGAGTGAGGGTTCCCCAGAGTGGTTGAGGTAAGGCTCACTGCCATAATTAAATAAATCTGCTTTTTTGCAAGTAAGACGTGGCTCACTTGGCACATCTTGAGACACTTGGCATGCCGTCTCCATCCCACAGGCTCCTAATTTCACAGGGCAGGTGTCTGTGGCATGGATTACTGGAAGATTTTGACTCTGAGGCAGGGGGGTTATGGGGTTTAAGCCAGGAGTAAAATGTGAGACTTAGTTCCCAGTCCCGCCCACGGAGCCTTCCCTCTCATGGAGAGGCTGACAAGGTCTGACAGTGGAAAGATAGAATTGGGCCAGCCTGGGATCCAGTCTCTGCTCTGCCTCTTACCACATGTGTGACTCACAGTATCACTTAACCTCTCTAAGCCTCTGGTTCCTCACCTCTGACACACATTCCACCTCAGGATGATTAAGGATTAACATTCCTTCATAATGCACAGCTTCTGGCAATTAGGAGGTGTTCCACAAATTGTTAATGTCGTGTATTATTATACTCTTATGACAGACCAGCCTGGACAATGCTTCCACCTTGCTTCAGCCTCAGGTGCTGCTTTCCTAAATTCCAGGATGCAGAGATGAGATTTCTTTGCCTATTGCATTCTCACCGCAGGAATGGTGAGGGCGCCCCCTGCAGGTGGGAGCATGAGTGTGCTGCCAATGTGTGCGCTCACCAGCTGGAATGACCACTGGCAGATGGCTCAGTGCCTTGGTGTTCTCATCCGTGTATATACATATGATCCCATCTTATATAATTTGCATCACAGCCTGAAATAATTCTTTGAAATCACTTAGTATAGTGCCTGGATCAAGCAAGAATTTCCTGAATGGAAGCTATTAAGACATATTCTATTTACCAGGTTTGTTTTATTTTATTTTGGTCAACACCTTTTACTGAAACTGCTCTTGCAGAAGTCACTAGTACCTTAACAAATCCAATAGATAATTCTCAGCTTTTTTCCACTTGAACATATAGTAGCATTTGGCACAGTTGAATACAGGGTCAGTCACTTGGTTGAGAGTTTCATTAATGTCCCAGTGACAAGGTATGGTAGTTAACATCAGAATAGACCAGCATTCTTTGTAGTTATTGAATATATATCTGTACTTCAGTTAACTGTACTTCTTTTTTTATTTTATACATTTTTTACATCATTTTTCATTTTTGCACAATGTATTGCATTTTCATCTTGGTTATAGTCCCCATACAATTCCCACCCGCCTTGTTTTGATCCTACTCTCCCCCACAAAGTGTGTCTCTGGTTTATAGTTGCTTACTGATTTTGATTTTTACTTTATTATAATTTGGTTTTTTCCTGTTTTCTAAATTCCTGCTATGAGTGAGACTATCCAGTATTTTTCTTTTTCTTTCTGGCTTATTTTGCTGAGCATGATCCCTTCCAGCTCCATCCGTGTTGCTGCAAATTGCATGAGTTTATCTTTTTGATTGCTGAGTAACATTCCATTGTGTGTATGTACCACATCTTCTTGATCCAGTCATCTATTTTGGGTCATTTGTGTTGTTTCCATAGCTTACCTATTGTAAACAGTGCTGCTATAAACATAGGGGTGCAGGTGCCCTGTGGAATTAATGTTTCTGTGTCCTTTGGGTAAATATCTAGGAGTGGAATTGCTGGATCATATGGAAGCCCCATCTTTAGCAGGTTGAGGAATCTCCACACAGCTTTCCACACTGGTTGGACTAGTTGGACTCCCACCAGCAGTGCAGGAGAGTTCCTTTTTCTCCACAGTCTTGCCAATATTTGTTGTTGCTAGTTTTTCAAATATGTGCCATTCTCACTGGTGTGAGATGGCATCTCATTGTAGTTTTGATTTGCGTTTCCCTGATTACAAGCGATGTTGAACATTTTTTCATATGCCTGTTGGCCATTTGCATTTCCTCTTTGGAGAAGTTTCTTTCTCTTCTGCCCATTTTCTCTTCTGCCATTTTTTGACTGGATTATTTACTTTGTTTTCGTTGAGTCTCATCAGCTTTTTTTTTTAAAAGTATTATATCCAAGATGGATTTTCTGTGGAGAAAAAATAAATCTGTGATTAAATAAATGGAAGTTATTAACTGAGACCAGTTAGATTTACCCAAGTATAGAGAAATAGTACAAGAGTTGGTATTCAATGAATATGAAAAAGAAAGTAGTACCAAGGGAAAAAATACATATATAGGTAGAACTACAGAAAGTTATGGGCAAAAGATACAGAGGACCCATATAGCTGAGACAGAAATTACATATCTATAAGGTTAATAAATTCAGTTCAATTAAACAATGTTCAAAGGAGAGAAAGACACACAGAGAGGAGAGAGTTAACTTTTACAGGGCAGAGAATAATAACAATTACAGAGCTTGCAGCAGACTGACAGCTCACAAGGACTCTCATCCTTTCAGTCTCTTGGCTTCTCTAAGGAAGTCTGTGCCTTCCAAATCCTTCCATTGTGCTCATTGTCTCTGCCACAGGGAACAATACCTTGTCTCTCTCTAGCAATGAGTGAAACATTTCAGCAAAATAAAAACTGTAAGAGCCAAAGTTGCCAGGGGGTTTCAGTTATACTGTGTATCTGTTCCTTTTTTGGTAGAGAACAATTTGATGAAATCACAATAAAAACAACTCCAAGGGAGTAATCCAAGAGGAAAAACAAATGTGCTGTGAGGTAGTCCCTGCAGCACTGTGTACAGCAGAGAAACACCAGAGACGACACTAGGCATCACCACCAGGCAAACTCTGGAATTCCAATAGCATGAAAATCGTAGTGAGTTAAAAGAGTAGATCACAGGGCCTCCCCAGTGGCGCAGCAGTTGAGCGCTGGGTTGTGAAGCTGCCTGCAGCCTCTGCAGCGCCGGTTCAATCCCCGGCTGCAGGGCGAGGGATGGCTCGCAGACCTCTCCTGCCGCCTGCTGCTCCCCTCAGCAGTGTACCTCATCAGTCTGCCTACTCTGCTCTCCCCTCTGGCTCTGGTGAGTTCTCTCACCCTCCTGCGCTTCTGACTGTACACAGTGCTTATATAAACAAATTAAAAAAAAAAAAGATTAAAAAAAAAAGAGCAGATCACAAAATGGGCTGTGCTCATTGATTATACCTATAGACAAACATGTAGATACATGAACAGACCTTGAGAGAATTTGGGGTGTAAACAGGGTTAATATTTACTGGGTTCTTTGTAATTGTTTTCTAAAAGGTGAAAGCTTTGTCTCTTAGGGCACCTTCCACAGAGAAGGAAGGAAATGCTTTGCCTCCACGTCACTGGATGTGAAGCTGGATTGCTGGCTGATGGGTGCAGGATCACATCAGGTTTCCCTCACACTTGGCATGTGCATGTGAACACGCGTGCAGATGCTTGAAGGCTGCCTTTGCCCCTGGAGCAAGATGAGGTGTGCCCTGGGAGATCTTGGTGAGAAGAGGAACCTGCTTAATCCCTCCTGCCATGTCAGTCCCTTAGGGTTTCCTGATACCCAACCAGATCAACCAGATGCCAGGGGTAGAAAGTGTTAACAGGGGGGGTCCCCAGGAAAAGGGGAGGTTCCAGGTGTTCCCTGCCCCACCCAAGGGAGGGCGGAGCTGGGCAGGGAGGAGGAGAAGCTGGAGAGGAGACTGGGGAAGGGAGGAAGGAAGGAAAAACAATGGGGAGAGCAAGGAGGAGATATGGAGGAGACACATGGAGCAGAGACATGTGAAGAAGCTGCCCTTGCT